ATACCAAAGATGAGATACCTTTAAGTACAAAAAAGTTATGTCGTTTCCAACACCTTCAATCTACGGCAGCTGGCGCCCTCTATGAACTATAACCAAAATGTGAACAAATTTCAATTTCTCTATCCAAAGAACCCCAAACCCCAAAATTTTGTGTAGATATTTACATTTATTAAGAAATAAATGGAAATAAACTAAAATAATATTTTACATTTAACACCCTGTATCTCTTTAACTATCAACTTTTGTACTAAGGTAAGTTCGATTAAATCGCAATATATTTGCTTCGGGAATCTACCCATGTATTTTGGCCCATTACCTCGAGACCACCCTGTATATATACATTGTGTCCCATAAGTGACGCCCGTCCTTCTGGGTTTTGATTAAGGGGACAAAAACAAATCGAAAATCAAGAATGAAAATTTTAAAATTGTTAATCTTTGTTGAGTCATTTAAAAAAATTAATAAAAAAACTAGAAATAAACATTTGGGCTGGGTTATTAAATAATTATGTAGTTCAGAGCGATATTTACTGCAACTGTATGTTATTAAATGAAAACTTACTATTGCCATTGCTGGATGACGTTCCGTTAGAAGTTAGACTAAATTATTGGTTTCAACATGATGGAGCTCAATCACATTATGGTTTGCGAGTATGAAATTATCTGAATCAAAACTTCCCAGACAGATGAATTAGAAGAGGTGGATTCATAGCATGGCCTTTTAGGTCATTAGATCTGAATCCCCTAGATTTTTTTGGGGTTATTTAAAAGAAAATATTTACAGCAAACCTGTTGTAAATCCAGAAAATGTAGTAGCATGTAACACGCTCCTGTCGCATTAATAGACCAACAGATGCTACAAAGGGTTCAAGCTTCAATGTTGAATCATGCCTATCTTTGTCTTAGAGTAGAAGGCAACTTATTTGAACACCTTTTGTAAAAACATTTTCTATTATTTAAGGACGTTATGTTTTTTTCCTCTCCATTTTATAAAATTGTTTTATTATTAAAATGTTTTTCTCTATCCTTTTCAGGTTAAAATTATTCCTTACACCCATTTACAACCGATAATCGGAAACTATACTTACCTACTATTGGTTATAAATTATTTGTCTTGGTCCCCATAAGCATATACCTCAGTTTTGGGACGAAAAAATTGGATTTTCACTTTTTTAGTTTTTTGAATAATTTTTTGAATAACTCAACAAAGAAAAACAATCGGAAAATTTTCCATTCTTGATTTTCGATTTGTTTTTGTCTCTTTAATCAAAACCCAAAAGGACGGGCGTCACTTTTG